TTTTTTAAACCTTTAACCAGAAGGTTTAAGAAAAAAAAGCAGCAGATTTCAATCTCTTTGATTGATTCCCTAGAGAAACTTACATCATGAGTTCATTCACGAGCAACTTGGCATCATGTTAGTCAACACTTTGGATTACGAAGCCGTATTACCCAGCCTCACGGGACCCCTTGTCCTCCCTTGACTTCCAAGAGCAGTTCTGCGTGAGTCCTCTAGGCCAACAGGATAGGTCAGAATAAGACTTCTCAAATGAACCTTTTAAGGGCAGTTTTCTCTTCACTGCCCCTTCCACAGGACATGAGCTTGCTCTGTATGTCAGGGAAACATGGGCAAAGGAGGGGACTGAGATACAGATTCCTGAAAATCATTAGCTTACCACCACTAGGAAGTCAAAAAAGAACTTGCAGGATAACTTACTAAACAAATAAAAGGGATGGCTTATACAATGGAAATGTGAAGGAATACGCTGCGTGGAAAATAATTTAGACAGTCCTGGGGCTTATTCTTTGCATGCCCGTCCAGCTGATGTCCTGGCTATTCTGGAATACACCTGGCCTGCCTGCCCCTAGGGACTCATGCACCTGTGCTTGCCTCTGCCTGGACCCCTCTTCCACCAAAAAAAAGATCTCCTTCCAATCACTTCCCTAGCATTCTTCCTATCTTTGCTTAAATATTACCTTCAAAGAGAGAGGTCTTATTTAAAATCACTATCCTATTTAACTGACCAATCTATACACAGTTTAGTTTCAATTATCGGTCAGATAAAAATTGCCGCCACAGCCTTTCACCCCTGGTACCTTCCTTTCCCTATGTTCTGCTTCACTTTTCTTCATAGTCCATAGAACTTCCCTGAGTTTATCTGTTCCTCATCATTGGAAGATATTTCCATGAAGGTAGAGATTTTCCCCTTTTCTTTCTTCCCGGCCAGATGCACCTCTTCCCTCTCCCCACTGCTGTCGCCTTGGCATCTAGAACAGTGCCTGGCAAATAGAGAGCCCCAATAAATATTTGGTGAAAGAAGAAATGAATGAATCTAGTGTGAGAAACGAACTGGGTGGATTGTAGAATGACATAGTGTTAACTTAAATTTTTTTTACTACTTTATTGAAGTAAATGTTTAAACTGTACAATTTATTGATTTTTTTTGTCATAAAACATACCCACAAAAATATGACCATTATCAACACACTGAACATGTTATTACTTCCCAATGTTGCCCTGTACTCCTCCACACTCTCTCCCTCTGCTCTTGTCCCCAAACACTGATTTGCTCTCTGTCCCCACAAAATAATATGGTATATCCTCTGTTTTCCTTCTGGATGTTTTCAAGTGTAAAAATTTGATATTTATCCATTGTTGTAATATTTGTGGTTTGTTTTTATTGTTGAGTTATATTTCAATATGAAGGAAGGAAGGAAGAGATGTAGGAAAGGAATCGTAATGTTTATGATATTTGTTTAAAGAATTTTTAGTCATTGATAGATTGGATCCCTACTCTGATATTGATAAAGATTCTATAATTATTTTCAGATCGGAAG